CCGGGACTTTGCACCAGGCTGCTCCTCTCGCCCCCCTGGGTTTAGGGGAGAAAGCCTTTCCCGCTGCCAGAGCAGCTGGCCGGCAGCCTGGGGAGAGGGCCCTCCAGGCTCTTGCCACAACTCCTATGCTGGCTCCCATAAAGAAGCAGCTCCCCTTCAGGAGGGATGGAAGTGCACCCCTTAGGAACTGGGGAGAGCCAAGAAATACCCCCGTGTGGACCCCTCACACTCAATACAGGAGGGATCTCCAGGGGACAGCGACTTGGCCCCTCACAAGCCAGGAGCTTCCACAGCATGAACACAAGAGGAGTGGGGAGGTCCAGCTGGGCAGGGCCGCCCACAACATTTTGGCATCTGAGGTGGGGAGCTCAAATGATGCCCCCATGCACTCTCGCTTGGGCCAAAACTTCTCTGGGACCTAGTGGCCGCCCCCCTCCCTTCCCAGTCTGGCACCTGAGGTGGCTGCCTCAGTTCGCCTCATGGTAAGTCCAGCCCTGCAGCTGGGGTGCCTATTCTATCACCCCAGAACTTCGCAGTCCCTTGGACACCAGTGCTGGCATTAGACTCTCCCTCCCTAATCAGAATTTCATATGTTTTTAGCCTGCCTTGTTTGCCCAGTTCTCTCCTTTACACTCAGGGTATGTCTACACTACAGCATTATTTTGAAATATCTTAATGTCTACACACAAAATGCATTTTGAAATAGCGCATCCACACTGATTGGACTCTGAATCACATTTAAGGCCAGCTGGAACTGGTTCCGGCAGGGCATCAGGTCAGAAGTTACCTTGTGGCCAGGGTGGCCAGCAGGGCACCCTGGGAAGGGCTGGAGGCCCCCTATTTTGAAATAAGCGTCTACACAGTGCTTATTTCAAAATAGCAATTTCAAAATTTGCTCTATTCCTCGTGGAATGAGGTTTACCAATTTCAAAATAAGCCTTCCACTATTTCAAATTAATTTCGAAATAGCAGTTGGCTTGTGTAGATGCTAGGAAAGTTATTTTGAAATAACGGTTGTTATTTCGAAATAACTTTGCTGTGTAGACATACCCTTAGCCTCGCTCCCATTGCCCAGTGTTCACCCCCAACCCCTGCCCTATTCATCTCAACAAACCCACTCCTGGCACTCCACTTAGTGCTTCTAACTGGACAAATATATAAGCCAAACCAGGTACAAAACCTGTAACCAAGTATCACATTCATCCCACATGTCCATTTACTGGTATGTTGTTATAGCTCGTCAGAAAAAAAGCTTCATTAATGGAGATACACGCATTTTACTCCCAGGTAATAGAGCAGAGAATCAGACCTGTATTCACAAGTTTTACCAGCCCCTGGCATTCTACTTCACCTCTTCCACTTAATCAGAAAAGGTATTCTGTAAATCAGATAGGCTTAACCATTTTAGGGTACGTCTACACTAGCCCGCTAGTTCGAACTAGGGAGGCTAATGAGGGTGACCAAAATTGCAAATGAAGCACGGGATTTAAATATCCTGTGCTTCATTAGCATGTTCCCGGGCAGTCACCATTTTGGAAATTGAGTAGCCTGGAATAACTGCCCGCGGCAGTGAAACAGGAGTTCGAAGTAAAGCCCTAACTTGAATTAGCTGTTATTCCTCCTGGAATGAGGTTTAACAGCTAATTCTAATTAAGGGCTTTACTTTGAACTCCCGATTCACTGCCGTGTGTAGACACGGGCAGTTTTACCGGGCTAGTCATTTTCCAAAATGGCAACCGCATGGGAACGTGCTAATGAAGCGTGGGATATTTAAATCCCGCACTTCATTTGTAATTTTGGTCGCTCTCATTAGCCTCCCTAGTTCGAACTAGGGTGCTAGAGTAGACATACCCTTAGTGAGTCCAGGAAACCAAGAGACTCATGCCCTGATGGATCAAGGGAGAGGGAATTCCAGAGCAGAATGACTTTCACTGGGAAAATCTGGCCTCTGGATATACAGATCTAGGATATACATACCTCTGGGCTTCATAGCTTATCTTGGTTAAATATCACTGTAGAGTTTTCTTAACGTAATAGGCTGCAGGTCAGACTTAGAAGCCAAATGTCCTCAGAGAAGACATTTTTCTTAAAAAAAAATGGTTAGGACCAAATTATGCAAATAATTACACATCATGTGCTTAAATTTATGCACATGACCATACGAATGGCCATACTGGGTCACATCACAGGTCCCTCTCATCTAGTATCCTGTCTTCTGACAGTGACCGCTGCCAGGTGCTTCAGAGGTAATGAACAGAACCAGTAATCATCAAGGGCTTCTCTACACTAGGAAATTATTTTGAAATAACTTATTTCAAAATAATAACTCCTGAAATAACTATTTCAAAATAAGCTTATTCCCCAAGGAAAGCAGGAGATATTATTTTAAAATAATAATAAAATATTAGTCTCAGAGTGGTATCAGTGTTAGTCTGTAACTGAAAAAACTTGAATAAAAACAACAAATGGTCCTGCAGTACCTGAGAGACTAACAAAAATGTTGGTGATATCATAAGCTTTCATGGGCATAACAATGGGTTGGGTAGTATGGATGCTTGCCTTGTTATTTCAAAATAACTCCCCAGTGTAGACCAGGGCCAAGTGAGCCATCCCCTGTCATATATGGGATTACCTGTGCATGGATCTTCTCACATACAGAAATTAAGCACATGCAAAAGCTCTCATTTTGGCATATACTAGAAATTGAAGAGGGGCTTCCAGATCTAAAAGCATGAACTCCTTCAGCTAAAGAACCAGGCTCTGCAAACGGGGGGCTGTAGCAATCTCTCTTCCTGGATGTATCAGATGCAGAAGGGGACACTGATCAGTGGGTTAAATAATTGTTTGCAAACTTTAGATTGTAGGTATTTTAGGGGCAGGACCTACCCTTCCTTCTTTCTAAAAATGCCTAGACGCCCACCTAGGGCACCATAAATATTAAAATAATCAGGATTATTACAGTTGGTTGAAGTGTTTAAAAATGTTAAGATTATGCAAGTGTTTTGCCAAAGAAAATGTTCCCCTTCTTACAACTAGCTCTAAGAATAGTAATGATAAAATAAATAGTAACAAGTGCTAGTAATAATAATGAACAACTCTCTAGGGAAGGCCTTATGGGAGAGTATGTATCTTTCACAAAAGCCCCTTTGTTTCCAGTTTAAACCAATTTTGACAAAAAATCTGGGTTTTACAAAAATATATTCATTTTAATTTCAATTGTCACCCTCATTCAAATATATAAAAATAACTTGTTTTAGTAAGAAAATGCAATACAATACAGGAGATATGTTTTACAACAATACATTAATCTGCATGTATTTGTGAAGCTGCCTGTTGAATTAAGACCATGCATTAGCCTAACGGATTCACAGAATAAACAGGCATGCATGCAAGCTCTGAAGTGGGTGCCCATCTGAACATACTGATGAATCTCACACCTACCACGTAAATATTTCAAGCAGCTGGCAGATAATGGTTTAAGGATTTGACACAGTAAAATGGGAAGGAAAATAAAAATCTGTCTTTCCATTCACTGAAATAAACTCTGATATATATATATATACATACTCATAACAATTATTAATAGTTTTTGCACCAATTTTCAGCTGATTTTGTTATTGTAGTAATAAACACAATAAAGTCCCAGGAAAAAAATAAAATAAAAACTGAAAATGAAAGGTGCTACTTACACAGTCTGTCCCAACAATGAGGATAATGAAAAGAGGGGAAAAAAGCATAATGCTTTGATTTCTTTATTGAACTATGTGGATTGGAATAAAAGACTATTAGATTGTCAGCGCCTTTCTACATATACCCTTACTCAATTATGTTGACAAGCACAGAGCTCTGCAGGGAGAGAAAAATCAACAGGCTGCACAGATTATGTGGGCCCAGTAAAAAGATGCTGCAAATATCTGCCTTGTCTATTTTTCGCTTCTCTCTAAACAGACTTTGAATCTTTTGGTTAAAGAAGTGATTTTATCAGAAAGTTATACCAGAAGGCAGGGCCCGCACATGGAATGTGCTGGGGTGGGGGGAGAGATTTTAAATGGTCCGGTGCTCCT